TCCTTTCCCCATTATCCATCTGTCCATGTATCCCTTCTTGCAACACTCATGCAGTGCACACTTACTATGTATGTACAAAGCCCTGGGAGGGGTGTACCATCCCTATCTTTAACAAACGGTCTGGAAGTCAGGTCAAGATTGCACACAGATACATCTGTGAAACCCGTCAGCCCAGACTCAGCATGGCTCCCCGCTTTCTGCCACAGGGATTCCAAACTTTCTGGACGTTGTATTTTCTGAGGGAGTCTTGTGTGCCCAGCACCATGCTGGGCCCCAGCATCTCCCGGTGCTGTCTTAACTCTGCATCCTGACCCTACTACCACCCTGACTCGCCCTAAGCTCTTGTATCTCCTGGCCCCTTTTCCTGGCCCATTCCCTTTGCCTTCCCATCCAGAAGCCATCCAGCAGCACCGCCGGAACCTGGCCGAGTGGTTCAGCCGGCTGCCCAGGGAAGAGCGCCAATTTGGCCCAACATTTGCACTAGACACTGTCCATGTGGATCCTGTGATTCGCGAGAGCACCCCCGATGAGCTACTTCGCCCACCTTCGGAGCTGGCCCTGGAGCATCCGCTGCCCCCGGCCAGGCTCCCCACACTCGCCCTGTCTCAACTCTTTGACCCAGATGCCTGTGGGCGCCGGGTTCAGACAGTGGTTCTGTATGGGACAGTGGGCACAGGCAAGAGCACATTGGTGCGCAAGATGGTCTTGGACTGGTGTTACGGGCGGCTGCCAGCCTTTGAGCTGCTCATCCCCTTCTCCTGTGAGGACCTATCATCCCTGGGTCCTGCCCCGGCCTCCTTGTGCCAACTTGTGGCCCAGCGCTACACACCCCTGAAGGAGATTCTGCCCCTGATGGCCACCACTGGGTCTCGCCTACTCTTTGTGCTCCATGGCTTAGAGCATCTCAACCTTGACTTCCGGCTGGCAGGCACAGGGCTTTGCAGTGATCCTGAGAAGCCAGAGGCACCAGCTGCCATCATAGTCAATCTGCTGCGCAAATACATGCTGCCTGAGGTAGGTAGCCCCCTGCCCCATTGTGCCACCTCTGCCCCGGATTTGCCATCTAAGGATTTTTGTCTTGAGCGCACATGTTTATTGGATAGGAGTATAGGTCCTGGTGTAGTTCAAATTCTGGCCCCTTCATTTCCAGATGTGTGTCTTTGAGCAAGTCACTGACTTCCCCAAGCTTCTGTTTCCTTCTGTCCTTGAGTTGTACTGATCAAATGAGATAACTGCATATAAACTGCTTGGCACATTTCCTTGGCTTATAGTAGGTGCTCAGTAATTGTTGTAATTATTACGGTTTATCATCATCTTCATTCTCGGACACTCAATCTTCAGGTGCTCCCTGGGGAGTGAGGCAATCAGGATATCACAGTCTTTTTTTTTTTTTTTTAAGATTTTATTGGAGAATTGGGGAAGGGGAACAGACAAGTTGCTGTCCTTTTGTTCTTCAGTCTAGTTGTGGAGGACGTCACTTCACTGGCCCATGTTAGTATTATTGTGCTCTTTCTGGGTGAGGCAGATTTGTCGCTGGCCACTGGACAGCTGCTCACGGTGGCTCTTGGCAGCTCACACTGGCTGCTGGCCGCTCACACTGGCTGCCAGCCACTCACTGCAGCTTATGGCAGCCCACTGCAGCCCTGCTGCAGCCTACGCCGTTGCTAGCGACTCACGGCAGCCCAGCTCCAGGTCAAGCTGTTGTTCACCATCTTAGTTGTAGAGGGTGCAGCGTCACTGACCCTAATGTGGGATCTGAACTGAGGCCCTGCTGCTCAGAGCTGGCGTCCCAAGCCAGCTCTTAACCAACCTGCCATTCGGTCGGCCCTTACGGTGTTTCTTAACCCTAACCATGCTCTTCCCAGGCCAGAATTCTGGTGACTACCCGTCCCTCTGCCATTGGCCGCATCCCCAGCAAATATGTGGGCCGCTATGGCGAGATCTGTGGCTTCTCTGATACCAACCTGCAGAAGCTCTATTTTCAACTCCGCCTCAACCAGCCAGACTGTGAGCACAGTGCCGGGGGTATGGGTGTCTCAGCTACGCCAGCTCAGCGTGACAACCTGGTAGAGATGCTCTCTAGGAACCTGGAAGGGCACCACCAGATCGCCGCTGCCTGCTTCCTGCCCTCCTATTGCTGGCTTGTCTGTGCCACTTTGCACTTTCTGCATGCCCCTACACCAGCTGGACAGACCCTCACAAGCATCTACACCAGCTTCCTGCGCCTAAACTTCAATGGGGAGATGGTGGACAGCACTGACCCCTCTAAGTTGTCCCTGATGGCCTATGCAGCCCGAACCATGGGCAAGTTGGCCTATGACGGGGTATCTTCGCGCAAGACCTACTTCTCTGAAGAAGATGTCCATGGCTGCCTGGAAGCTGGCATCAGGACAGAAGAGGAGTTTCAGCTGTTGCATGTCTTCCGCCGGGATGCCCTGAGATTTTTTCTGGCCCCATGTGTGGAGCCAGAGCACCCGGGCACCTTCGTGTTTACTGTGCCTGCCATGCAGGAATATCTTGCTGCCCTCTACATTGTGTTGGGTTTGCGTAAGACAACTCTGCAGCGGGTGGGCAAGGAAGTGGCTGAGCTCGTGGGCCGTGTTGGGGAGGACGTCAGCCTGGTATTAGGCATCGTAGCCAAGCTGCTGCCCTTGCGGGTCCTGCCTCTGCTCTTCAACTTGCTTAAGGTAACAGCCCCAGGACCCCAGGCTATCAGCCCCTTACACCCCATTCTCCCCTTGCTCGTCTCCCAGAAGGAAACTGCTACTTACTGCATAGTTGTGAATCCTCTTCTTGGCTCTGGTTTCATATTTGGACAATCTGGCTTTTAATAGGATTGGAGTATAAGAAAGGGGGAGAGAGAAGCCACAAGGCTGAGGAAGGCTTGGAGGCTGGGAGGGGAATTTGAGGGTGCAGGGACTTTGGTAACAATCCTACAACCCTGAGATGGTTTCCTTTTGCATCTCTCCTCCTAGTCTTTGTTGCTAGGAAGCAGGAGTCACTATCATCCAGTGTCTGTCTTCTGCTTTGCAGGTCCAGACACTTGATTGTATCTGTTCCCCAAGAGGTGATTAGACTCTGTGAGTGATGACTCATCCTAACTATATCACCAGAGACAGGTTTATAAAGCAGATGCCATTTTATTCATTTATACCAGGAGGATAAATGCATTGGTAATTGGCTTAGAACAGTCTCTCTGGGGTGCAGGTCCACTCCAGAAACCAAATTACAGGCCTGAGAACTGTGCTGTGAGCAGGGCAGATGTGCTAAGTTTTTTTGGGGAAGAAGGATGTACTCGCTGCTGATGTCTGCCCCGTACCTTGTAAATGAAATACTATAATGATCCCTTTTATAGATGAGGGAGCTGAGGCTCACAGAGGCTAAGGAACTTGTCTAAGGTCACTTAGATAGTATATAGAATAACTGGGATCTGAGCCCAGGTTTCATGATGCTGAATCCTATGCTCTTTCTGCTAAACTTTACTGATACTTTGTGGATATTTCTGTTAAGCTATGGTGACTTGCTAGTCAACCCTTGTCCACTCTAGGAATGTTTTAGTAACTGGTCTCGAGGAGGCAGAGCCCTGGTCAGTGCTGGCAAAATTTCAACAAATTTTCCTTTTTATAGGCAGCAAAGCATAAGGGTTAAGAACAGGGATTCAGTGATGCAGTTACCAGGGTTCAAATCTAGGCTCTGCTACTTACTAGCTGTGTGACCTTGAACAAGTTGCTTAACCTCTCTGTGCCTCAGAGTCCATGGGGATAATAAAATCTATATTATTGGTCTAATAGAGGGATTAAATGTAATCCTGGCACATAATAAATTCTATTTAACTGTTAAACATAAAAACAGGCTCAGGACATCTCACACCCTTGCCTCAGACAGGGAGGTAATGGCCATTGCTGAGGCCACCCCACCCCTTTAAAGATATGTTTGCCTTATCTGGATTGCAGGGAGAGGCTGTGAACTCCTGGTGGGATTCAGAAAGCCCCTCTGTTCATTGAGAGTGCACCAGAATTGTTAGTATCATACCCCCAAACCCTGTGGGAGGGAGGGTTGCCTAGCAGAGGACTGGTTCCATCTGCTTCTTCATGATTCTATTGATGCAGCTTCCTGAGGTGACATTTTCTCAACCCATCACCAGATTAGTGTTGAGGGATGGGCACTATAACTCCCATGGCAGGAATATCACCTATAAAAAGTGAAAAAAGCAAAACTGGACATTAGAGGAGGTGCCACAGAACAACGTCATGGCTCTCTGCTAGAGAAAGGCATCCCTCGTTTCCTTTCAGAACCATTGCAAAGATGGAAGATGCAAAACCCCCCCAAACATTAAATTCTTCAACAAATATTTGAGTGCCTGCTGTGTGCCAGGCAATGTGTTAGATTCTGAGGAAAAACAATTAACAAAACCCCAGGTTTCTGTCTTTTCTGATCAGACGGTCTGAACACAAACATATCAGGATAACCATATAATTAAGTATGGTAAGTGCCTGGAAAGCAAAGTTCCAGATGCTAAAAGTGTACCATGGGGGACCTGGTTTAGAGCAATAAGGAAAGCCTCTCTGTAGGAAGGGCATTTAGTCTGATCCCTGGAGGATTAGCAAGAAGGAGAATTGTTGGGGGAAACACCCCAGGAAGAGTATATGAGGTCTGACAATTAAGTTCAAGAACTTATTGCAACGATGTTGCTAACCTTTTTAGATATTGATTATTCATTATGAATATGTACCAACTGGACAAACAGTTAACCAAGTTTACTATTTGGAAGTGCTGAAAAGGCTGCGTGAAACAAATTAGATGACCTGAACTTTTCGCCAACAATTCGTGGCCCTTGCATCACGACAATGCACCACCTCACGTGGCACTGTCTGTGAGGGAGTTTTTAGCCAGTAAACAAGTAACTGTATTGGAGCACCCTCCCTACTCACCTGATCGGGGTCCCCAATGACTTCTTTTTTCTTTTTCTTTTTCTTTTTTCTAGTATATGTTTGTTTATTTGCTTGTTAAGAGAATAAAAGCAGTCACTCATTTATTCATTGAATACATTATCAGATGATAATATAGGTCAAATATTTTTAGACAGTGACTTGTGTGAAGTATCGAGCCTGGCACATATTAGGCACTAGACTGTAAGCTCTATGAAGCTAGGGACAAGGTCTGTTTTCTTTAAACCATTATAAGCCCAGCAAGCACGTAGTCGAGTGTTAGGAAATAGTAGGTATAAGTAAATTTTTGCTCACTGAATGGTGAAGTAAATGTGAAAATTCTATACTTATGATAGATATTCTAACCCTTTTGTTTTCTATATATCACTGCTTTTTGGAAGGTAACACAAAAAATATACAAATAATATTTATGTATTTGGTAACTGTGGCAACTCCCTGTTCTTAATTCAATAACTGAACTTTGAATTTCAAGCCAGAACATTTTAAGGCCTTTGCTCTTCAGAGTTAAGTTACATCTAAACCTACCTTAACATATTTTTTTAGTAGTTTCAGGTGTACAAAACAACGTAATAGTCAGACATTTAAACCCCTCATAAAGTGATAACCCACCCCCCAAGCTACCACCTTTCTGACATCTTATATAGCTGTTACAATACCATTGACTATCTTTCCTATGTTGTACTCTACATCCCATGACTTATATATACATATCTATTTAGTTATAATGGACATTCAACATTATTCTACTTCAATTTCAGGTGTATAGCGCTTTGGTCAGGCATTTACACAGCCTATTAAGTGATCCCCTGATAGGTCCAGCGCCCATCTGGCACCTTACATGATCTTTACAACATTGTTGATTATATTCCCCCAATCACTTTATCTACCCGAAGATAAAGGAAATATTGAAAGGAAGACATTTTGATGGCATTCAGGATATCAAGGGTAATACCATGACAGCTCTGATGACCATTCCAGAAAAAGAGTTCCAAAATTGCTTTGAAGGGTGGACTAGGCTCTGGCATCAGTGCATAGCTTCCCAAGGGGAGTGCTTCGAAGGTGACTGTAGTGATATTCAGCAATGAGGTATGTAGCACTTTTTCTAGCATGAGTTCGTGAACTTAATTGTTTTACCTCGTACAGCTTTGAAGGAGGAGAAACCTTGGCACTGTCAAACTGTGATGGAAGGCAGTGTGGTTGATAGAGACCAAATGATGCAGAACATTGTAGTAGTAGGAGCAACTTAAGTCATCATTGCTCTCATGATGATTTTGAAGATGGTGCTGTATTTACAACACCCAACCTAGTTCCAAACTAACTGCATAATATATGCTAAGTCCTTCCCACCACCCCCTGGGCTTGAAAATGTATGGGGTGTTTGGGAAACACAAAGAATTTATGCCTCGAGTGCAAGAAACAAGTGTTAAGGAATGACTCCGGAAAAATCAAATTGGGGTCAAATTATGAAAAGCTTTGTATTCTGCATGGGCAATGGGGTACCACGGAAGGTGTTGCAGCCAGGAATTAGTGTGATCAGACAAATCATACTGTGAGTTCAAGAGGAGACAGGAGGCTGAAGCAGAGCCCTGAAAGCTGAGTAGGCACACAGGAGGCTGCAGCGCTGTTCCCCCGCTTCCTTTACCCAGGTGGTTCCACGAGTGTTTGGGCACGTGGTGGGTAAGAGCCGCGAGGCAGTGGCCCAGGCCATGGTGCTGGAGATGTTCCGAGAGGAGGATTACTACAATGACGATGTCCTGGACCAGATGGGTGCCAGTATTCTGGGCATGGAGGGCCCCCGGTGCCACCCAGATGAGCCCCCTGAGGATGAGGTCTTTGAGCTCTTCCCCATGTTCATGGGAGGGCTTCTCTCTGCTCATAACCGGGTCATGCTGGCTCAGCTTGGCTGCCCTATCAAGAACCTGGATGCCCTGGAGAATGCCCAGGCCATCAAGAGGAAGCTGGGCAAGCTGGGCCGGCGGGTGCTGCCCCCCTCAGAGCTCCTTGACCACCTCTTCTTCCACTACGAGTTCCAGAATCAACGCTTCTCTGCTGAGATGCTCAGCTCCCTGCGCCAGCTCAATCTGGCGGGAGTGCGCATGACACCCCTCAAGTGCACAGTGGTAGCAGCTGTACTGGGCAGTGGAAAGCATGTCTTGGAAGAGGTGAACTTGGCCTCCTGCCAGCTGGACCCTGCTGGGGTGCGCACACTCATGCCTGTCTTCCTGCGTGCCCGGAAACTGGGGTGAGGACCTCATGCACAGGCATGAAGAAAGGAGAGGGTTGGAGGTAAAGAGGTGGGAGAAGAAGCTGCTAGGGAAACCAGAGGTCCTGAGGAAGGACCAAGGGGTGGGATGAAAAAATCTGATGTGGGTAGAGGTGACGAGCAACCACAGCGGGGGCAGGTATGAACTGCAAGAGGCTGGATGGTGAGAAAGGGGCCCAGTGGGTGGGCAGGTTCCATGCTAAATTCTTTCCTCGGTTTCTTTCCTTCTCTCTGGCCACTTTCTTTTCCAGGTTGCAACTCAACAGTCTGGGCCCTGAGGCCTGCAGGGACCTCCGAGACCTGCTGCTGCATGACCAATGCCAAATTACTACCCTGCGGTAAGTGTCCTGTTAGGGGGCTAGAGCGGGGCTCTGGCCTTTCTGGTGGCCAGCTAAGGTCAAGGGTGTGCTCCTTGACTCAGTGTGCCTGGCATAGGCCCACCCATGGTGTAGTGAAGAGGGTGGGAGTCTGGCCCCATCCTGCCCCCCAAGTCCAAATCAAGCAGCAGGGCATGGGGTGGGGAGAGACGCCACCAGCAATAGGTGCTAAGAAAGCCTCTTGTGTGGCTAAAATAAGCCTGGGCTAGAGGAGGGGGTGGAATTAATACCCAGGCCAGTTGCCTGGAAACAGTGCCATGGATCTGCTCCCAAGATTTTCCCTGTGCCTCATAAGGATGACCATAATGCTGGGCACTCAACAGATGCTACCGAAGTGTTGACTGGTTTACTAGGAATCCAGACTCCTGGGTTCCTAATTTCTGGTTGGGGCAAGGAGGTGAACAAGGAGAGAGAAAGGGAGGTCAAGAAGGATAAGACAGTGGGGATCTGGGGAGGAGGTGAGACAAGGAGGAAGAAGGGAATTGGCAACAATGAAGAAGAAGGAGAGAAGGGTGTCAGCAAAGGAGAATGGAAGGAGGGAGAAGAAGAGAGGAGAAGCCAGCTTTCACCCCACTCTCCCTCCTCTGCAGTGTACCAACCATACCTGCTGTTTCTGCATCCTCTTCTCCTGGGGCTGCATTTCTGTGTGTCCAGGCTGGTCTCTGGCCCAGGCTGTACATTCTTTTGGTCCAAGCACAGGGCGTCTGCCATGGACCCTTATAATCTTGGGGTGCTTGTGGCCATAGGCTGTCCAACAACCCGCTGACGGCTGCAGGTGTGGCTCTGCTGGTAGAGGGGCTAGCAGGAAACACCTCACTGACACACCTGTCCCTGCTACACACGGGCCTTGGGGACGAGGGCCTGGAACTGCTGGCTGCCCAGCTGGACCGTAACCAACAACTACAGGAGCTGAACGTGGCCTACAATGGCGCTGGCAACACAGCGGCCCTGGCCCTGGCCAAGGCTGCCTGGAAGCATCCTTCCCTCGAGCTGTTGCAGTGAGTTTTGTCCCTAGTAATTGCCCCACCCCAGCCTGACACTCTTCCCCAGCCTCAGTCTTCCTTTCCTCTCTCCACTGTGCTTTTCCTACCCTAGGGAGTGGGCCTGGGCCTGTCCTTTCTTCTTGGCTTCCGACTGATACTTGTCAACCTGCTTCTGAGCCAACCCTCCCCTCTATGATTGGCCTTTACCTTGCCCTGATTCCCTACCACCATTTCTCCTATGGTCTTGGTGGCCCCATTACTACTGTCTCTGGTCCCACTAAATTCTAATGTTATCTCTGCCTCCCATTGGCCACCACCCTCCATCTCTGGCATATTGCACACACCCCATCGCATTCTGTAGCCAGGGGCTGAGTTGTGAGATCCCCTCACTCTCTGTCCATCCACCACCCTCTGACAATCCTTATCAGAGCCTTGCTGAATGGTGTCTACTCTTCTCTCTTCTGCTAGCCTCTACTTCAATGAGCTGAGCTCAGAGGGCCGCCAGGTCTTGCGGGACTTGGGGGGCACTGCTGAAGGCGGTGCCCGGGTTGTGGTATCACTGACGGAGGGGACAGCAGTGTCCGAGTACTGGTCGGTGATCCTCAGTGAAGTCCAGCGGAACCTCAACAGCTGGGATCAGGGCCGGGTGCGGCGCCACCTTGAGCTATTGCTGCAGGATCTGGAAGATAACCGAGGAGCCACTCTTAATCCCTGGCGCAAGGCCCAGCTGCTTCGAGTGGAGGGAGAGGTCAGGGCCCTCCTGCAACAGCTGGGAGGCCCTGGAAGCTGAAACAGTGGCAGCAGGCACCTAGCTGTGTGACCTGTGGCCCCAAACCCCTTCCCTCTGGGGCCTCCTGGCTTGCACTACTACTTCTAGAAAAATCCCTTCAGAGTTGGAGGCAAAGGAATGGGCACAGCTGTGTTAGTGGCACTCCTGGAACATGTCCAACCAATACTCCCCAGCCTGGAATTTCCAGGGTCATGGAACATGCCTCCTCTCCCTTGGTTTAGAAGGACCGAAGGATGTGGCATTTTGGTGGCCAAGTTGCCTTGTAGCACCACCACCAACTTTGCCTTCCTCCGCTCAAGGAGACTTGGTGCCACCAGGTGGCGCACTTCTTAATCGGCCTTGCCAGGGATGTTGCTGGAGGACTTCCACCTCCCGCTTTTCTGCTTTCTGTGGACACTGAGAATGCCCGTAGCCACTTTCTTCTCTAATTGGTGCTTTCTCCTCAGCCTCATGCTCCCTTACCCCAATGGTACCTGTGCTCTTTGGCCCCTAGGGACATGTGTGCTGACTTGCTGCTATTAAAAAAAAAAACTGTGTCTTCCACCTAGTGTGTGGCCTTTTCCTTGCCTGGTGCTTTCAAGAAAGGGCACTGTTCAAAAAAATGGAAGTGGACCAGCTACTTACACCACATACGAGAACAGATTCAAAATGGATTAAAGACTCAAATGTAAGACCTGAAACCATAAAACTCCTAGAAGAAAACATAGGGAGTAAATTTGCAAACATTACTCTGAGTAATATTTTTACTGAGATATCCCCTCGGGCAAGGGAAATAAAAGAAAAAATAAGCATATGGGATTACATCAAACTTAGAAGTTTTTTCACAGCAAAGGAAATCATCAA